TTGCCTTCACAAGGACATGAGTGAAATAAATAAAGTGTTCAATAAAATTCGTACTCAGAGATTTACAAAACACAGTTACAAAAGATAGTTAGTAGGCGTATACATTTATAATAAAACGTCGGTAGTATCGCTACTCGTACTAAAAACTCTATTGTTGAAACTTTGAATATGCGTTGTGTGGTTTAATGTACTTGTTTCCTCAATATTATAGAAACTATCCAAGAATTAGGATCTTCATTTTGCCGATTATCTGTATTGAATGTGTCCTGTAAGTTATTATGGAGAATAAGAAGATACATGTAGCCGAACCCCACTAAGTATAACTAATGAATCATACCGTCACGGTTGTATAAGCACATTATCAACGACACGTGTCGTCATCAGTAGGTCGTGTGCCTAACGTCAATCACTTTCGATGGGCGTGCGTAGTCACTGAAGCGAGTAATTATGGTCCCCTGACCTCCGCCTCGGTCGGGTGAGCAAACCAAAAGTCTTTAGCCCGACAAAAGATTTATATAGCTCCGTAAGTTTAACCTGGAAATTACTCTGCTGGCGCGAAAAGATGGCGGGCGGTAGTTGTATGTTAGAAGAGCCGTATAGAATACATATATAATACGTACTTATCATCTGATCAGTCGTATCATTTAATTACACATTTCTTCACACGCTGTCGTTGATGTAAAAATTCGAGTCATTTTTATCATACGTCAATCTAGACAAGACGATTTCGTCTTTGTGTAATCATGTTAACTTCACGACGCAATAATAACAGGTCGTTGAGGTGATCGTATTGTCCTTTCGGCTAACACCAATAGTTATGTCACCTAACACAGATTGGCATGCTTCCCGAACTTTATCATCAGGTTCTATCATACTAACATGTAGCCTGAAGCCTCGCGAGACTAGAATAAGCAAAAACATCTACTATACTAGTCAAGCGTACAAACAGAAACAAGAAATTAACACCTCTCTTGGCCCGAAGTGTCAAAATACGGACACTGGTCATTCCATATCGGCCAAACCGATCTAATGACCCGTAGCAGTGGTCAAAGCCTTAACTATTATAAGTCAATGTGGTCCCTAATTATTCTTCAATACAATTGACTTATTAGTCAATAACACGGACACGTTCAACTGATATCGTTTGATATCTTAAACAGTATCTTGTGTAAAGATCAGCCTCTGTTTGAACTGTATCGTGTGAACAGATCAGCCTCTGTTTTAACTGTATCGTGTACAGATCAGCCTCTGTTTTAACTGTATCGTGTGTACAGTCAGCCTCTGTTTTAACTGTATCGTGTGTACAGATTAGCCTCTGTTTTAACCGTATGATGTACAGATCAGCCTCTGTTTTAACTGTATCGTGTGAATAGATCAGCCTCTGTTTTAACTATATCGTGTACAGATCAGCCTCTGTTTTAACTATATCGTGTGAATAGATCAGCCTCTGTTTTAACTATATCGTGTGAATAGATCAGCCTCTGTTTTAACTATATCGTGTACAGATCAGCCTCTGTTTTAACTGTATCGTGTGAATAGATCAGCCTCTGTTTTAACTATATCGTGTGAATAGATCAGCCTCTGTTTTAACTATATCGTGTGAATAGATCAGCCTCTGTTTTAACTATATCGTGTGAATAGATCAGCCTCTGTTTTAACTATATCGTGTACAGATCAGCCTCTGTTTTAACTGTATCGTGTGAATAGATCAGCCTCTGTTTTAACTATATCGTGTGAATAGATCAGCCTCTGTTTTAACTATATCGTGTGAATAGATCAGCCTCTGTTTTAACTATATCGTGTGAATAGATCAGCCTCTGTTTTAACTATATCGTGTGAATAGATCAGCCTCTGTTTTAACTATATCGTGTACAGATCAGCCTCTGTTTTAACTATATCGTGCGTACAGATCAGCCTCTGTTTTAACTATATCGTGTGTACAGATTAGCCTCTGTTTTAACTGTATGATGTACAGATCAGCCCTCTGTTTTAACCGTATCGTGTGTACAGATCAGCCTCTGTTTTAACTGTATCGTGAACAGATCAGCCTGTTTTAACCGTATGATGTACAGATCAGCCTCTGTTTTAACCGTATGATGTACAGATCAGCCTCTGTTTTAACTGTATCGTGAACAGATCATCCTCTGTTTTAACTATATCGTGAACAGATCATCCTCTGTTTTAACTATATCGTGAACAGATCAGCCTCTGTTTTAACTGTATCGTGTGTACAGATCAGCCTCTGTTTTAACTGTGTCGTGTACAGATCAGCCTCTGTTTTAACTGTGTCGTGTGTACAGATCATCCTCTGTTTTAACTGTGTCGTGTACAGATCAGCCTCTGTTTTAACTGTATCGTGTGTACAGATCATCCTCTGTTTTAACTGTATCGTGTGTACAGATCAGCCTCTGTTTTAACTGTGTCGTGTACAGATCAGCCTCTGTTTTAACTGTATCGTGTGTACAGATCAGCCTCTGTTTTAACTGTGTCGTGTACAGATCAGCCTCTGTTTTAACTGTGTCGTGTGTACAGATTATCCTCTGTTTTAACTGTGTCGTGTACAGATCAGCCTCTGTTTTAACTGTATCGTGTGTACAGATCATCCTCTGTTTTAACTGTATCGTGTGTACAGATCAGCCTCTGTTTTAACTGTGTCGTGTACAGATCAGCCTCTGTTTTAACTGTATCGTGTGTACAGATCATCCTCTGTTTTAACTGTATCGTGTGAACAGATCAGCCTCTGTTTTAACTATATCGTGTGTACAGATCAGCCTCTGTTTTAACTGTATCGTGTGTACAGATCAGCCTCTGTTTTAACCGTATCGTGTACAGATCAGCCTCTGTTTTAACTGTATCGTGTGTACAGATCAGCCTCTGTTTTAACTGTATCGTGTGTACAGATCAGCCTCTGTTTTAACCGTATCGTGTGTACAGATCAGCCTCTGTTTTAACCGTATCGTGTACAGATCAGCCTCTGTTTTAACTGTATCGTGTGTACAGATCAGCCTCTGCTTTAACTTAATTATGTGTAAAGATTATTCTCCATTTGAAAATTATTTTAACAAACAAAATCATTTAAGCGCAGTTATGTGTGTGTGTTTTGACGATGTATCGCAAAGTAAGTAGGAGTAGTTCATAAAATGGTTTCTGTTTATTTTCATGAGGAAACGTCCAGAGGCTCGCGTCTTTCCCCATTCTCATCCCCACAGTATAACCGACCAGATGAAATCACAAATGGGGAAAGAAATCGGGAAAATGTTAGATAAGAGAAAGGTCACGAAATAAAACTGTTCTGTATTCAATGTAGTTAATTTGAATCCTAATACGAGACAGCTATCGGATGTATCGGCGGAAATGTTTTATCGCTCGATCCGACAGTGAAAAACGTCTTCAGCTTTAGTTGGATCACGGTTATATTGCTATAAATTACAAGTCTTTTATGTCCCTGTCTCTAACTATAGGGTAGTTAGTTCATACAAAGGGTAGAGTGCGACAATGACGCTTGACCATTGTGTCCGTGCAGTGGTCACTGTTTTTACACAATGGCCAATGTCCTGACCAGCTGACCCTTTGGTCAGATTCTCTATTATATACCTTGGTAGCTATTCTCTTTCTAAATTTCGTCCTAAATTCTATAGTTATAACTTACAACAAAACGTCAACTCAATGCCGCCCCCTAACGTGTCCACCTAGAATATCATCCATGGGCTGACCACTCGTGCGCGCCACGCGCTCACGTGCTTAAAAGATTTTAATCAGCCAATTGAGAAAGAGAATGGGGTTTGATCGGCCACGTGCTGTGTAACTAATCACCAGTGTTTTCTTGCAATAGAATGTAATCGACAGCCCGACAGAAAGGGAGAGTACGAACTGCCTGGGTACAGGTAGTAAATCAACATCCTTGTTATTGTCATCCACGTGATATCGACATCACGGAATGTCGTTCTCACGTCCTGTCACTATACGTCACCGCAGTAGTAGTCTCTAACAAGTCATTAAAACGGATATTTTATTATCATAATTACTCGGTCTCGTTCTATTCCAATTTAAGTTTTCAAATTGACTTCTATTAAAATAATCAACCGATCCAAATATTTAATCGCATGTTTTTTGTTTTTTCGTAATCAATTCTAACTCCATAAATTTTGTGATGTATAAAAGTTTCTTGTTGCGGATTTCGGCATGAAGTTCTACAGAACTATGAAAATAACAGTCATTTCATCTGATTAAGACAGTCAAGATTCTGATAAAAGAGGAAAAAACAAATATGTATAGCAATAAATAGACAAATAATTTATTTTGTTTCACATATTAAATCAAATTTATACATATAAAAAGGTTTCCTTGGTGATGTAATGTAAAATACGACCAGTCACCATTTGTAAAAATCTCTTTGTTCTAATACTTCGTATTTAACGGCACTGGTTCGTCGTTAATACATACAAAAATATATATATCCAGGTATAAATTAATTTCATGGAATGTTTCCCGGCAGTCTGATGAACTGGCAGTCTGATGAACTATGGCAGATGATAATGTAGGTATGATAAAGGTGTGATACATTAATTGAATTGATGTCACATAAATAAATGATGACAATTTACACCTTTGCTAGATTCACGGGTGAGATTTTACTAACTTGATTTACACCAGTGGCAGAAGTTCACCCGATAAAGAAATTTTCTCTGCATAGTTACGTGACAAGTGAAATAATTAAACAGTTGATAAAAAAATACGTAAACATTTAGCTCAAAAATTTGCATAGATTTATACATGTACAGGCGTTAACAATACTTAACTTGTTTTCAATGGTGAAAAATCTGAGGCACAATGCGGATAATTCTAATGTCCTTCCAACTAGTGAAATGACCACAAACATTATCACAACTGACCAATGGTCATTTTGTTTCCTTGTATGTAGAGTGTTTTACTAACAAACCGATATCACATAGCTTTTGACGAGTTTTTTCAATATTCTATACATCACTATAAGTTCTGTTTCAATACATTTCAATAGCATACCCTTCTGATGTGTCAGAATGTTCCGTCGGACTGTGTAGACCCGACCTTAACATGCCACACTCCTTCATGGCCGAAAATCCGGAGTACACGCTACTCCAGTCGGAATGATGAGTTTGTGAAATCACAAAGTTTGGGCACACGTCCGATCGGGGATGTGGAGAAGTCACTTGTGATACAGGCGAGGAACAGGACACGTATGACGTCATGGGTTCCGACGCTGGAAGAAGAGGCTGAAACTGGACACCTGGGGTAGACACTGTTGGTGCTATTCTAAAGTGATGGTAGCCCGCCGTGGGTTGCTGGTGTTGGATGGACGCTTGATGATGAGGGACACGAGGGTCGTACTGAGGCGACTGATGAGGAGGCTGGATTGCCTGGGAGTCCGGCTCCGTGGCTGGAGACAGAATATGAGATGGAGTAGGAGAAAGCTGACCACTGTCCGACGAGCAAACACTATTTGTATTAAAGTCTAATTCCCTTTTAACGTGAATAGCACCAGTTACATCTTTAGCAAGTCCATTTTCCGGAAGTTTTGCCACCCCTTCCAGGGCCTGAGATAATACCCATATATAATTGTAAGCCATCCTCAATGTTTCGATCTTCGTCAGTTTGTTTTCACCATCTGAAGCTGGAAGAACCTCTCGCAATACTTCGAGGGCATCATTTAAGCCGTGCATCCTGCTCCTCTCTCGGTCATTAGCTTTGGAGCGGCGAGTTTTTTTAAGTTTAGCGACAAGAGACGGGCTCCGTTCTCTCTGTCGTGGTTTGTTGTAACGTTTCTTTTTAGGCGTAGAAGTCACTGAGTCACTATCTTTCTGTTTTCGTTTCGACGAGGATGTATTAGTTTGATTTTCTTTGGAATTTTTTCTCTCCATTTCATCACGCTGCAGATCTATCTCCCCGTTATCTGAAGACATTGACGAGAAAGTGGAGTCTGCTGGACTTCCGTAGCTGTTGTTATTAGCCGTGGACGTCAAGACAAGCAGGGACGACATAGCGAGAAGTGTTGCGGTCAAGAACAAGTTGACGACTGACCGGTAAACGTTGTGTAGTGGTGTGTTGTATCCGGATAGAACGTCAGTGTGACTACATGACCCGGGGTATCGTTTTTATACTCTCTGTCAGTCAAAGTCTGGCCACGCGACACTCTATTCACTCTCCATTGACATGACAATGAACCACCTGAATAATGGGCGGTAGTACATCCCAACCAGCCAATCAGCATTCATGTCTCAATGCTTCGGGTCACGTGCGCACGCGCTACTGTTTACACTAGAAAGGAGAAAATTGAACTATGAAAACACGGGTTGTGATTTTTAGATTCTAACCTAAGGGTCCCTACTCTTGCTTTACCCGTCAAGATGAGATTAGTCTGTTTAAGATTAAAGCCGGCAATCTCGCCTCACGTAAACTTGTGAAAAATTGACAAACACCTCCGTCAATGAGTTACACGAGTCGTACAGTGTGATCAGTTAAAACAACTGACGCCGTGTTTGTTTAAAGATAACAGCACTAGTAAATTTAGGTATCACACTTAGTCCAAACTGGATAGCCTACAAAGACATCGCCGACAAATATTAACAGATGGGCAAACCACACTAGTCTTTGTTAATTTTTGTGCATTAAACAAATAATTCGGTACCTTCAAAAAGACATAAAATTTATAGTCAATCGTGGTCTTGTTTTGTTACAAGACTATATTTAATTCATTGCATTCATAGATAATAAAATTAGCAGAGTTTGTGACGTTGTAGCAACAGTAGACGCCAGAGATGTCCTATCTGATCCTACAGTATTGGCTGTGTTCACCGTTAAATCACCGAGTTACTTTAAATGTATCGTTTTTATATAGTCACGCATACACTACATTACTCTCCCATACACTGGATACAGTAACTTCACCACTGACACGAGACTCGCGATATCTTTAATCTGATGAGACTATAAAACGAGAAATAAAATGTCTACAATCATTTTCACCAGGCTCATTTCTACATAAAACACATACTGAGGAATATTTTGGTACACACAATAAATAGTCTCTTTTGATACGAAAGAGAAATCATTCGATTTTTTTTGCCAGATGTGATCATCAAGTTTGTATAAAATTGATGACTCCTGAGCAACAGATTTAGTTAACTTTAAAATGACGAATTACTACAATAAAAATAGATTCTCGAATATCTAAATGTCATAAGAAGATGATAGAATGACTTTTCCTAATTTAGTTCAAACATTTTTTTTAGTTTCAGTCTTCACACTAACTATATCTATGTATGATAAGCTATTTAAGTATAAGTGAAAAATTATCATGGGTAAAGTTGATAATTAAGTTGACATTATCATTGATTTTTTTAATCGTTACTTGTGTTATATTTATCGATTTATCAGTAAAATCACTAATTAATTCAATTAAATATCATAATGACGTGAAAAAATTACCAGTTATTTTCTTCAACGTTTTTATTTATAGAGAATGTAGAAACTACTTAATTAAGACCTTACATTAACATAGATATACTACAGCAGGTAGTCTATTACGTCCGTCCTACTACTTCGGACATTCACAACTTAACATGGAACTTATATATTTAATTCCGTTAACACTTTCATAAAATTCAACAAAAGACTTTGATCCAGTTTACAATCAGGGAAGTGTGCCGATATCTTTGTTATTAATTGTACATTAAATATGAATTTGAATATAAACTATTGTGATACATATGAATTGTGTATCTGTTAGGAGAACGTGATCATAAGTTATTATAGCTAGTGGCTAATCACATATCTTCAGTTAACGATAAAATTTGTTTGAATCATACGTGTATAACTGTATTGTGTATTAAATACTAATAGTGAGGTAAGGCTGTTTCTACTCCTGGCCAGATGGGCGCCGAACTGATCTTCGATTTTCTTATCAATAAATATTCCGGGAAAAATGCAATAGATGAATAAATAAAGTCGCAATTACAAGACAGAGGTGGTGGCTTTAAGAAAATACCAGAAAGCTGTCCACTTTTGCACGTGGTTACTGAAAGACAGTATCTATCTCATATTTTTGCTTGAAAATCAACGGAAAAATTAGTAAACAAATAAATAAAAATAAGTAAATAAATAAGAATAAATAGATAAACAAATATTTTATCTAAAATCGTAATGACACAGAAACATACAACTTTTAATATCTATTATACATTCATTCAGAACATTGTAAAACTTGACAAGAATTTGCCTGAATTTAGCATACATGTATTAAAAGCTGTCCTACTGAAGGAGGTCTACTAAAAGCAATGAAAAAAAAATCTTCACTTTGTATATAAAAATAAGTGTATATATAGGAGCATCTAGTATAACATAGTCACTGGCTCTCTACAGTTTGCCCTAATGCCAGGGTTGTACATTTATTTCACTCAGCAGCGTCGTAGGAAAAGCTCTTCAGAGGTTATGTTAATTGTTTAACTTGTAAACGACGTAAAAGTTAATTTTCATTTCAATGGATAATTAAACAATATTTGACTGTCCGGTTGTAACTATCCTGTTCATTCCGCACTGACCAGAGATTCAGAGTAAATCAAAGGTCACGGACAAGACAGTTTCATACCTATTGTATTTGATTTACACAAGTTATTTCAGCTTATGACCGCCTTTTCCTCTAATACAATACATGATAATATTTACATGATAACATTAACAAGGCATACATAATACATTTCACAGTTAGTACATTTTACTTAAAATCTATTGCTGGCTTTGATAAAAAAAATTGCACGTGTCTGAATACTTCTGTATTGGTAGTTAGGGACAGATTTTCATTTCCAAATAAAAATAGATGTAAATTCACTTGATCTATATTCAACATGTTTATACTTTGAAAAAGCGTTATTCTTACTCTATTATAAAGCCTACATTCTTGTAAAAAAGACCAACGTCCTCACAGTAATGTCCACAAGCACACGATGGGTTATCAACAATCTTAACACGGAACAAATCACTTTTCAAAGAACTGCACTGATGTCTGAGTCTCGTATGTAATATATTTAGATTACGTTCGCAAAAATTATAATAAGATGGAGGACAAGCATTAGCGTCATTAGATAAAGAATTGTATCACACAGTACGCAGTATTAGAACCCAGTGACATACATGTAACACATTTCTCGCAGCTAGTTGTAAATATAATAGAAGCTTTACCATTCTTTACTAATTGAGCTCAAATGTAACAGATTTAGTCCTAAAAACACAAATTACAGAACTCCTGTTAGAAAAACATATCGTAATTATCATACAAACAGAAATTCGTTACTTCTATATAGGGAAACATAGGTAAGAAATACAACGGTAACTCAAAAGTTGGAGACATTCAGTAAATTGGAAATCTAAAATATATTAGTGTTACCAGATGTTGAAGACATTTCTCGGTAACCCAGATATTGAAGGCATATGAAGACATTTCCCGGTAACCCAGATATTGAAGGCATATGAAGACATTTCCCGGTAACCCAGAATTTGCAAGGCATTTAAAGACATTTCTCGGTAACCCAGATATTGAAGGCATTTCAAGACATTTCTCGGTAACCAAGTTAATGAAGGCATATGAAGACATTTCTCGGTAACCCAGATATTGAAGGCATATGAAGACATTTCCCGGTAACCCAGATTTTGGAAGACATTCGAAGACATTTCTCGGTAACCCAGATATTGAAGGCATTTGTAGACATTTCTCGGTAATCCAGATTTTGGTAGACATTTGAATACATTTCTCGGTAACCCCGATATTGAAGGCATTTCAAGACATTTCTCGATAACTCATATTTTAAAAGACATTTGAAGACATTTCTCGGTAACCCAGATATTGAAGGCATATGAAGACATTTCTCGGTAACCCAGATTTTTTAAGACATTTGAAGACATTTCTCGGTAACCCAGCTATTGAAGGCATATGAAGACATTTCTCGGTAACACAGATATTGAAGGCATATGAAGACATTTCTCGGTAACCCAGATTTTGGAAGGCATATAAAGACATTTCTCGGAAACCCCGATTTTGGAAGGCATTTCAAGACATTACTCGGTAGCACAGATTTTGGAAGACATTTGAAGACATTTCTCGGTAACCCAGATATTAAAGACATTTTAAGACATTTCTCGGTAACCAAGATATTGAAGGAATTTGAAGACATTTCTCAGTAACCAAGATATTGAAGATTGAAGACATTTCTCGGTAACCCAGATATTGAAGGCACATGAAGACTTTTCTTGGTAACACAGATATTGAAGGCGTATGAAGACATTTCTCGGTAACCCAGAATTTGGAAGACATTTGAAGACATTTCTCGGTAACACAGATATTGAAGACATATGAAGACATTTCTCGGTAACCCAGATATTGAAGACATTTGAAGATATTTCTCAGTAACCAAGATATTGAAGATTGAAGACATTTCTCGGTAACCCAGATTTTGGAAGGCATATGAAGACATTTCTCGGTAACCCAGATATTGAAGGCATTTCAAGACATTTCTCGGTAACCAAGATAATGAAGGCATATGAAGACATTTCTCGGTAACCCAGATTTTGTAAGGCATTTAAAGACATTTCTCGGTAGCACAGATTTTGGAAGATATTTGAAGACATTTCTCGGTAACCCAGATTTTTGAAGGCATTTGAAGACATTTCTCGGTAATTCAGATATTGAAGGCATTATAAGACATTTCTCGGTAACTCATATTTTAAAAGACATTTGAAGACATTTCTCGGTAACCCAGATTTTGGAAGGCATATGAAGACATTTCTTGGAAACCCCGATTTTTGAAGGCATTTCAAGACATTTCTCGGTAACACAGATATTGAAGACATTTGAAGACATTTCTCGGTAACCAAGATATTGAAGACATTTGAAGACATTTCTCAGTAACCAAGATATTGAAGGCATATGAAGATATTTCTCGGTAACCCAGATATTGAAGACATTTGAAGACATTTCTCGGAAACCCAGAATTTGGAAGGCATTTGAAGATATTTCTCGGAAAC